TTATGACGCAATGAGGCAAGTACCATATATGTCAACACATATGTACATACGTATTGACGTACATACACCTTTTGGTATACATGTGTCGTCTTACCCTTGATTACTAGGTCGTCCTTCTCTCCCTCAGTACACATTTACGTCTTTACACATATATCTAGAATCTTGCACGGTTTTTTCCTTCTAGTAAAATGATAATGTGCACGGTTCGATACAGTACGGGAATAAATAGAATAGTCATGGAAGAATAGGTCTCTTTTGCTGATGTACTATTACCTAAGAAGTATATTCAATTGTGATATACGATTGTTTTAATTAACACAGCTAACGTTAAATATTTATAAAAGGTTCCTAAAATCCCCAAAAAACATTCCGAAAGTAAGTAAAGTTCTGGAATATTCCAAAATATTTACGATATGTATAAAAACAACATTCATATAAATATCGATTAAAAATTCTATTATATATCATTACATATTTCGGAATGTTTCATATATGTAATGTTTCGCAAAATTTTAATTTTTCTACAAGTTCCAGGTCTAGTCCTTGAATAGGTTTTTAAATAAAATATTGTTTTGAAAACATTTCATACTTTCACCTTGGAGCCCAATTACTTTAGGCCTCATCCACAATAATCGCACACATGATAAGAATATAAGTTAATATTATATTTCATTCCCAAAGATACGCAGTCGTCTTCATGGACTTCTTTGACCAATTAATTTAGGCATTTGATTGGTTGTTCTAATTTAGGAGAAATATTTGATTGGTTGTTTTAATTTAATCTGCCGGCCATTATGCACAATGAAATACTTTACATTCTTATACTATGGGCGCACAGTCTGTCTCGTAGATCGCAAGCTTGTTGGGACAAGTCAATTTTAATATTGACTCATCAGAGTTTGTGCGATTATTGTAGATGAGGGCAAAGCCTTATGGGCTTTACACTTAACAAAGGCGAAATGCTTACATTTTCTTCAGATAATTCTTGTTAACGAGTAAATGCTTTTTGACGCAGCCTCTATCGGCGGAGATGTGTACTGCTTGCACGCTCGCGATTCTCGCGTGATATATACATATCACGAGTAGTCATACAATATTCTGAACATTTCATCGACATTTGTATATTCTTTGCATATTCTTTGATCTACGATTCTTTCACTGTGTTGGAATATTCGGCACATTGGGAATACGAATCGAACTTTCGAATAAATATTTAGAATGAATATCTAGATTATCACTTCCCTGTTTCGTAAAAATACATATTGCATATGCTCTCTGTATCATGTTATCTTTGTTTAATATTTCGGTAACAAAGAATCGGTAAATAAGGATAAAATTATACATTATATACGCTTTAAAGCGGGGAGCACAGACTCCTGTATAACGCATAATGCATAAGAGAATCAACTAATTAGAATCTTTCCTTTCTTTTCATTCCATGGAAAAGAAAAATTCCGATTGTTTGATTCCCTTATGCACTATGCAATGTGTTATGCAAGACTCTGGGTGCGTTCGGAGAGACACGTTATGGACGCAAACGCTACCATTGCTGTTCTTGGAGTCATAGCGCGATAGCGTTAGCAAGCTCCATGAACGATCCTAGCGTAGCGTTGGTAGCATTTAATCAGAGAGATATATTTGTCGAGGTTAATGTTGGAGATTCTGTTTTCAATCTCCAACTTTTCCCTATAATTAAAATTTTTAAGGTTTTGTAAAGTATTTGTAACGTAAATTTTTTATTTTCTCGTGAATAACAGAATGCAATCTCAATTGCAATCTCTATGATAGCTTGCCGCTAGGCTGAAGTGAACAATGTAGAAACTAGATCAAAAAATTAATAGTTACACTAAGTAGATTAATCAGATAAAAGGAAGAAACCTTGAGCATCCGTTGTCAATTTCAGAAGAAGAAGCATATCTACATAAGAATCTTAAGCATCTGCAGTGGAATACCATTGCGCTATACCGCAATAGTAACTTTTTTCCGTATACGGGAATTAAAAATTGCCAGTAACAAGATACTTCTGACTTTCACATTTATAATGAAATCAAATCACAAGTTGCACTTCGCGGAAACTTTGAAAAGTTAAAGATGATACACAAGCAAGAATTACGTTCACTCCAGCCTAGTGGCAAGCCATCAGCAGAGATTAAAATTAAGATTGCATTCATTATAATAAAATATGAAATTGACGTATTAACATATTACGTACGTTTACTCTACAAAATTCTAAGAGAGAAAAGTTTGGTGACACTCGAGAACAGAATTCCCTTAAACATTAATCTAACTTGGACGAATGTTAAACGCTACTAATGCTACGCTCGTTCACGTATCTGTAAATGCCAACGCTATCAATACACTATCTCGGAAGAAATAGCGTTGATAGCGTGCAATTGTGATGTAACGCTACCATTAGTGACATCATGATCGTGTTTGTTAGCGCTATCTGCAGCTCCGCGAACAGTTTGTAGTGCTAAATAGCGTGAATAGTCTATTATCTCCCCGAACGCATCCTCTGTGTTGCAGTCATATCAATTCTTTATTTTATGGAAAAGAAAGAAATAAAACACTTTGATTGATTCATTTTCGTATGTCTCATGTGTTGTGCAAGAATCTGTGCTACTCGCTTATGCATTGAAAATTGACACAATTCTACAATAAGCCATTAGTAATAAATCAGAAATCAGAAGCTAGAAATTAATCAATTATTCTTTTTACATTCCACTAAAATTGGTCAATTTCTAGCTTTTGATTTATTATTAATGGCTTATTGTAGAACGTATATGACATTAAAGATTTAAGCAGGAAGCACAAATTCTTACATAATGCATAACACATAAAACATAAGAAATCCAATCAATTAGAATTCTTTATTTCTTGGAAAGGAAACGAAGGATTGCGTGTTATGCGTTATGTAAGAGTCTGTACTCCCCGCTTAAAGATTAAAATTTCAATGAAGACAAAGAAATTTTGACTTCTTTTGTTGTGATTGGTCAAACTTCAATCTTTCAATCTTCAATCTCATTTTTCAATGCGTAGTCTGATTCCGGCCTTATGCATAAGAAAATGTACCAATCAAAGTCTTTCGTTTCCTTCTTTTTCATGAAATAAAAAACTCTGATTGGTTGGATTTCTGATTTTATGTGTTGCATTATGATAAGTTTGTGCTCCCCATTTAAGCCTGGATGGGAAGCACAAACTCTTGCATAAATATATATGGATATGTTCTTAGTGCTTGCACATTATGTTTTCGTACTTAGAAGTTTGTTCCACGACGAGCGTGAATCGGAACGGACATGTTTGTCTTATATCGGCTTGAGTGTTGCATCATCCTCAATTTTTATTAAGCCTGCCGGTTTTTTTGTTTTGATTTCATGTTTCGTTTTTATTATTCTCCCACCAGCGCCGTTCCTTTGCGAAGATATGCGCGGAACACATTTGATACTGGACATATTGTTTGAAACTATTGCTTAGTTTACATTTAATACACGTACCAATTAGTAACTTCCTATTAAATTATTTTAATATTAGCGATATATTCAAAGAATGATATACTAAATTGATACAATATGAATCAAAATAATTAATTAAATACACATATCGTACATATGTTTACACATATCACCGAAATTAAGATCATTCAATAGAAAGTTACTAGTACTCGTATCAAGTGCACGATGTAAACTAGACTTATGTTTTTATTTGAAATTTTATATTTTTATGTTATTAAACAAATTGTATTTCTTCATAACTATATTATTTCTTTATAATTATAATTGTAATATGAAATATATCAATAAAGAATATTTTGCGTTATTTTATGCTTTCAATTGCTTAGTTTACATCGTGCACTTGATACTTACTAGTAACTTTCTATTAAATTATTTTCATTTCAGCGATGTATCCAAAGAATGATGTTAACTAAATTGGTTATTACTAAATTGGTACAATATGCATCAAAATAATTAATTCAATACACATATATATGTATATATATATGTATATACATATCGCCGAAATTAAGATCATTCAATAAAAAATTATTAGTTTGTACCTGTATCACTGACGAGATACTATTAAAGACTGTCGACAACTGATATAAATTTGCTATTATTAACATAAATATTTGGCTTATACATTATTAAATTCATGAATTTTTATTACATAAATAAATATGCATATTTTTAAAGCTATAATATTACAGAAAAATTATAATTTTTTCTTTGCAGTTATCATCTCTAATAATCAAACTTTGATAATAACATTGAAATCACAATTTTAAAGAAAAATCGAGTATTATTGAGCTTTCAATGCAGTATGTCTATTAAACTAATAAATCTTAAATTAATACAATATTATCAGTTGTTAACTCTTAATTATTTCATTTATTCACAAAAACGCGAACTCCCGTAAGGATGTCGGTTTTTAATAGTATCTCATCGGCCCGTCAATCAAGTGTTCGTTGTTAACTAGGCTAATAAGTTTTTCAATATAAGTGCGCCATTTCCTTCCATTGTGATTCGTCATAGTAAGGACCAGCCAATCGAAAACATGGGCCGATGGCTAGACTCTGTTTTTCTAGGGACTCTAGTGACGAACCTGTCTACAATCTATACTAATTTTCTATGGCTATGCCTGAAGGCAATGCTCTCTGATTATACAAAGAAACTCTTTATTTACTTTTCGTTAAAATCAGAATCTCGCGTAGGGATAAAGCCGATAAAGTCGAGGTATTGTGTTCAGTATTTCATGACCACGGATATCGATACAAAGGAAAAGAAAAGAAAGACGAACTTGCGCAATTTTCATAAGTCCACTTTATCTTTGACGAGAGATGTCTGACAGTATGGAGCGAGAGAAAAGTGAAAGGTTAACTGCGAGGGAAATCGAGGAAGAGGAAATGAAACGTGAACTTACGGGTAATCAAATATGTTTACAGTGAGAATAATTGAAATGAGATAATTAGAATGCGATACTATTAAAGATCAATCTTGGGCAAATTTTTATCCTTGTAAAAAAGAGGGTCCAGAGATAATTGAAGAACGTTGACATTATCGATAATTGATATAAATTTGTCGTTATTTATTATTGACATAAATATTTGACAATAATAAGATTATATTAAGACCGAAAATGAAATTAAATACTAAGCATATTCAAACCTATAATGGTCAAAACAAAATCTTCTCAATGCCTAAATAATTCACAGTAAATTATTTATATCCTATATATGTACATGCATATATTACTATACTTTTTGTAATTATTCGAACTGTGCGTCGAAATTTTTTTGGATTTTATTAAACGCAATTAAACTACTGCATCACTACTAATATCACAAGTTAAATTAAAAAGCAAATTCTCAATCTTCGATCCGATATCATATTATAAAGGTGTTAATATGCTGGAAACCTTAAATAAATTTATTGCGAAAAATATTACCTGGGCTGGGATTTGAATCCGGATCTCTTGTATTTCGTACGAGCATCCTAAGCCATTAGATCACCGAAGCCTTAGTAATATTCTTCGCAATAATCAATGTAAGTACAATAATGCTTCTTGCAGGCAGTATGTATAAACAATAAAATTTTATTAAGACCGACATGAAATTAAATATTAAATATAAGCCTATATTCAAGCCTATACTAAGCATATAATAAATATTTGACTAATACATTACTAAAGTCAGGATTTTTTATTGTAAATGTTCTATAAATGAGTGTACATATTTGTAATGCTATAATATCTTATATATTGCTGCAAAATTACAATTTTTTTCTCTACAGTCATCATCTCTATTGATAATCAAACATGAACAATAACATTAAAATCACAATTTTAAATAAAAATCAATTATTATATGTATTGAGTTTCAAATGCATATCTATGTCTAAGAAATTAATGAATTAAATCAATCATAAAATTAGTACTATATTACTAGTTTCTTACTCGCAGTTTCTTCATTTAAATGTATTAACTAGAATGCGAATTCTTGTAAGGATGTCTGTTTTTAATAGTATCTCGTCAGTAATATTCATATATGAATATATAAATGTGTAACTATATATATATATGTATATCTTACTGGTTGTATTCTCACATGTACGGCCTAATAAAATTCTTATTGTTTATAAATATATAATTGTTAATTCTATAGATATACCGATTTGATTTGTTGGACTTGAAATACAATCATAAACTGAAATAATTTCAGAATTAAATTAATTGATAGTCAATTTAATAATAATGCTTGTAGCATGTCTTAAATGTAGAATAAAATTTGTTTAGATGAGAGTTTATTTTCGAAAAAATCAATTTTAAATTAAAAAAAAATATTTACAGATATATAACAGTACATGAATTTGAATTACATTTTTTTACAAGCCATCTGTCCCCTATCAATTTTATTTTAATAGAGATTATATTATAATTATATAATAATTATTGTTAAAAAAACATACAATAATATTTAAGCGAAAGTAAGCGGAAAAATTATCTTTTTGATCGTATTATTGATTACAAGAATATCTTATATATTTTCTGCAAGTGTTATCACATTACATATAAAATTATAAATAAAATATTTTTTAACCTGAATTTAAATATGTATAAATTATAGATAACCCCATGTAACAAAAATAAATTTTTTTTCACACTAAGAAAATCAAATTGTCCTTGAAAATGGAGAGACAAATATAGATATTCTGCGACATTAATTGCGTTGTTATGAACATTTGAAGTTTAGAGGAAATCATTTCAGACATGAGATAAATTTTTGCGATTGTTTGAAAGTTATATGTTTCTACGTCAAATTAGTCGCAAAACATTAAAAAATAATAAAATTGAAACAAGTGGAGCAAATTGACGAAAAAGTGCATTTTTAGTCAAAAATTATTTAAAATTGAAAATTCTTTTTTTTAGAAAGCAGTTAATATATATTTTTTTAACATTCACAAAGAAAATTATACAAAGACTATAAAAGGGAGGAAATTGAGCAATTTTTTTTTGTTAAAAATTTTTTTCCATTTTGCTTTTCTTCACTTTAACTTTATAATTTTCTTATTCAACTTTATTTCAATTTTATATGAAAAAATTATTTTCAGACAATCAAAACTTTATTCTGTACCGAAGTAACATCTCTAAACTTCAAAACTTCATAAAAAACGCAAATAACTTACCGCGAAATGGAATGTATATCTAGATTTTATCTTGTGTATGCTAGATTTTATCTTTGTACTTTCATGAACAATTATCTTGTGTGAAAAACCATGCTGTCCCATGGTTTAACAGATAATAACATTATATAATAGCATTAGTTAACAATCAATGATTATTTGTCAAAACATATTTCATTTTTTTTAATTAAATACTAATTTAAAACTTGATTTAAGCCTGTGACCATGCTGCTATCCGAATTTGTATGCTTGCAAAATACTGCTGGCTGTTTTGCTGGTTAATTTAATTTTGGACGGTATGAATTTTTACGCTGGCGAAGCAGCTGATATCTATTTGATAAAAAGTCTGTTCTTTTTAGCTAAGGTTTTTGTACGATTCATCTTTCTTCCTTTTTTCTCGTTTGAGAAAAAAAGGGAAAAGGTGCAAGAAGTTCAGCTAAAAAGCACAGGCCTAAAAAAAACACTTGGCGATAGAATAGTACAATTGTATTGTTTTTAATTCTTGCGAAGAGATCTAAAACTGCGTTTTAATTGGTTATCATAATGAGCCAGCACAACATGTAAGACAAACGGCGCACACACACACACACACACACACACACACACACACGCACACGCACACACACACACACACACACACGCACACACACACACACACACACACACACATCTATCATCATAAAAAATCCAGTAAATTATTATTGTCAGCCAGCAAATTATTCATGGCATTTCTAGCATAGCAATCAAGTTGTATACCATTAGTATACAAGTAATCCTGCAAGAAAAAAAGGCTTTAGAAAAGACTAAGAATGTATTTGTTAAAAACACAATTAATATTTTTTAGGTATTGGAATATACGAGCCAGGATTTACTTATAAAGAAATGAAAAGACTACTCGAATTTGTTAACGAATCTCAAGATACATCGAACGTTACTTCCAATAATAAAAATACGCAGCAGGTATAATTACAATTGTATACTTTATACAATTGCAACTTTGATATGCATTGAGAAAATGAGATCTTTTATATAATGACAGTAATGAAAGAAAGGAGAATAGAAAGGAGAATTCATTGTCTGAAATTTTTTAGGCAATACAACATTCCGATAATGAATGCCTATCAGATGTTACATCTGACATAAACGTGCAGCAAGAAGTGACTTTGAAGAAGTGTACAGAAATGCCAAAACCATCATACTCGTACAAATTGAATCATACGTCTCCAACTATGCACGAACGTAGAGCCGTTCATTATATCAACAGTCCGGAATTTTCCCTTTTTGAAGTACGAAGCCCTATTTATCACTCTGACAATGATGAGCAATTCGAAAAACAATACGATAACTCCAATTCGCACACTACAAATCAATATTTCTCGTTGAGATTGGAAAATATTTCGCGAGGATGCCAGAATGTGACGGAGAAAAGATTGGCGCAGGATACACAAAGTGAAATTGTCCAAAAGCTAGAAAGATGGCGATTGAATCCGCTCGATGTTTGCATCAACGAAAACGACGTGCCTTTGCGACAGCCAAATAGATCTTTAGCTCGAGAGCGTATGCCATTTGAGCATTGTAAAGAAGCGCACATGTCCGATCAGTGTGATCGAGTAATACGATCTGTGAACCAGCATTTGAAGGAAATGGCAAACTTGTGGTACAGTTGGCGCCCCATTATCAGTCCGATATTTCAATGGGGGTCACCCATTCAGGTGGGTACCTCCCTCCCATATGGTTCGTATCGTTAACGAGCGTGAAGTACTTTACTTTTTGAGTGTATTTAATTCGCGGTTTTTTTTAACATGGTCGTTATTATATAATTCGGTATTGTATAATTTATATATAACAGTTCTTTTAGACGTAAGATTTTTGTTTGGATATACATATTATTAAAAGCATATTTGCGTTCTTTGTCATTTTGATATATTTAAACAATTTTTTTCATAAGATACAATTTTGGCTTTCTCTGGATTTTGTTTTTTATTCTCAGAAGCTTTTTTATTATTAAAAACACGTAAATGTGAAACATTATTATTAAAAATATTTTAAATTTGTATTTTTAGCATAAATGGTTATGTTCAGGCAAACTACACTATTTATCTATTTATTAAAAATTGTATTACCGATCATATCACAATTTGCAAGACAAGAGATATTTTAAAAATTTAAATATTTTTTATAAATATATTAAAATATTTTCTAGTTATATGTATATATTTAAAAAAATTATGTGTTGCAGTTACAAATATTTTCGTAAGTAAAGTAAAAAAAAACATGTACATACTTCTTATACAAATACAAAAATATACACTTACAAGCGAAAATATAATTCTTTTCATACGTAAAATGGACAATTTTACAAATCTCTCGCATTTTCACTCTAAATAATCTAAAGTTACAAATTGCATAATACTATATGTATTTTAGAAACAATGAGAGATATTAAACTTTTTTATTTCGTTTTTGCTAATCTTCAAATACATGTCTATTTCATTTTAAGCACACTAATCCTATCACAAAGAAGAAGATTATTTATGTCGTTATTTATGTAAAAAATTATTTTGATAATATACTTGTATACAATTTTTCTGCAAATTGTGGCATAATATATAGAAACTAAAAAATATGACTTTTAAAGAATAAGTAGAGTAGCCATTACCTTGAACATATTCGTTTAAATTAAAAATATTTAAATTTAAGATTTTTTATATCATAATATAAAAAAATGATTGCATTCAGCAATCAAATTGATAAGTGAATGCTCAATGATTCTTTAATAATAATAATGATTGGTTCTTGCCTTTAATTCTCTGCTGAATCTAAGTGTAGGAATCATATTAAAGAATTATTAAGCGCTCATTGATCAGTTTTGTTGAACGCAATCAATAATTTAAGAAAAGCCTGTTCTTTATCGCTGCACTAAACTATATTAAAATTTTCTTATAGCGTTTTCCCTTGGAATTTACTGGGTATTTGCCTTGCATTGTACCAGTTGTGTGTAAACGCTACACTGTATTAGAGTGGTGTGTACGCTACTTCATTATTGCGCTAAAATCCTGCTTCTGTTGATTTCATTTTCAAATTTTAAATTTCGCACTGATTCACTCTTTGAGATGGTGTAGCAAAATCCCACTTCATGCATAAAATTTGCGCTACATCGTAGCCATGGAAACACGGCACCGAACTACATCGGATGAGTTCGCTTATTATCAGCCATGGAAATACGATCTGAGTGCACTGGTGCAACCAAGAGAAAACGCAATTATTTTTTGCCAAACACACACACACACACACACACGCACGCACACACACACACACACACACACACACACACACACAC